TCGATGGATGTGCTATTAGTTTGATTGTTTGATGGATGATTGTAATTTTATGGATGATGGTTTGTGCACTAAGTAGTTTGAATTGATGTTTTGGATTTTTTTGATTTGATTCCGAATTATTCATGTTTTCTTAATATTACTACTGCATTTTTGGTGTAAAAGTACTCATTTTCCAGTAGCTAGTACTCATTTAAGGATGTGTTTTTAAATTATATACCAGTTTCTATTCATAGAAGTACCTATTTTATTCATAGTACCAGTTTTGTATTGTTATAGTACCGGATATTAGCTCATCAGTACCACTTGTAACGAACACATAAAATACCGAATTTCGATCTCAAATGATATTTACATGACAAATAATCACTCTCACACTAGTTTTTATGAGATTTATAATGTTTTTAATTAAGTTTAATTGCAAATTGGTCGTGGACTTGACATACTAATGACATAACACTACCAACACTTCATCTCCTTAAAATTGTACCAATTTTAGGGAAAATAGTTCTGCATCTTCTTCTACGTGTACCTTATTTTGATCGATTAGTACCTGTTTTTGTTAAGAAAAAATGATTATTTCATTGGGGTCAACATTTACAAAAAAGTAGTACCAGTCATAGTGTAAGTCAGTACCACATTATGGAGAGTTAGTACCAGATATCCTGTCCCTAGTACCACTTGTAATGAACACATAAGAAGACCGAATTTCGGTCGCAAATGATATTTATACGACTCATGATCACTCCGACATTAGTTTATATAAGATATTATATGATTTTGATTGAGTTTAATCGCAAATTGGTCATAAACTCGATACACCAATGAAAAAACACTACTACTAGACTTCATTTCATTGAATGATACACTTCATCTCATAGAAACCATCATACATGACTACTTCAAATTCCATCTACATGTTTTCAATTTTACTTTTTTTTTTTCATCCAAATCGCGTGTGAACAATCCACGTTTCATGGTAGACATGAAGGATTAAAGAAATCGCATTTTTTATAATAGTACCGATTTTGGGATATATGGTACCGCATCTTATTCTGCGTGGTACCTAATTTCGATCGAATAGTACCTACTTCTTTGAAGAAAAATTGATTATTTCAATTCTGCTCAACATTTACAAAAAGTAGTACCAGTCATAGTATACATCAGTACCATATTATGGAGAGTTAGTACCAGATATCTTGTTCCTAGTACCACTTGTAATGAACACATAAGAAGACCGAATTTCGGTCGCAAATAATGTTTATACGACCTATGATCACTCTGACATTAGTTTATATAAGATTTTAAATGTTTTTGATTGAGTTTAATCGCAAATTGGTCGTAAACTCGATACACTAATAAGAAAACACTACTACTAGACTTCATTTCATTGAATGACACACTTCATCTCATAGAAATCATCATACATGACTACTTCAAATTCTTTCTATATGTTTTCAATTCCACTTTTTTTTTTTATCCAAATCACGTGT